TACTTATCCTACCTATCCATTCAACCATCTATCTCATCTAGCTACAGAAAAATAGTAAATTATCAGAGTATTTTAATAATGCTGTAACATTGATATTATATGCAGTGAAATTAATTTAGAAAAATCTTATTATAATCGTACACATTATTGTTTGGGGCAAAGAGAAAGCATGCACACATTGAAAAAAAAAGTAGTTTAAAATAGCTAGAATGCACTTATCATCTAGAAACAGTGAAATCTATACCCTGAAAAGCCAACAGCTATCTCTAAAAGAATTTTTTTCTTAGTATATTCTCATTATTATAAAACAAAACCAAGACTCATTCACATGCCCAGTACAATCCAATTTGACATTTAAAATTGGGCTTGGGTTCACGAGCTTTAGTCTTCTCCACTTGCTTTATTTCTGTTTTGTATTTTGCAACTGTTTTGGTTGCCTCCTGTGTCACTCTGTTTCTAGAGAAAGTTAATTTTATAGAGAAGCGGCAATATTTTTTTTCTGAAACTTAAAAATCTGATTTGAATCCCTCCTTTATCTCCAGTCAAGTGAACTTACTTTGTGTTTGGGTGAAAGTTGAATCAGACTGTAAACAACAACAACAGAAAATCAAACCCAAGAAAAATGACAAATAAATGTATTTACAATGTTTTTAAAGCCAGTGTCAGATTCTTATGAAGTCTGCCTCATCAACATGCCATGTATGAGCTGTATGCATAAATGCAAATGACTGATAATCACATTTTTTAGAGTTAAGTCATATTAACTTCAACTGTATCCATTTATTTTATTTTATTTTATTTTATTATTCTAATTGTCATATAAGACAGCAGAATGCAGTTCAATTTATATTACATAAGTAAAGCACAGTTTTTCTTGTCTCTGGTTGTACACAAAGTAGAGTCATACCATTCGTGTTTTCATACATGTACTTAGGGTAATAATGTCCCTCTCATTCCACTGTCTTCCTACCCCAAAGATTCTTCATTCCTCCCTTGCTTGCCCCCCATACCCATTATGAATCAGCATCTTTATATCAGAGAAAACATTCAGCATTTGTTTTTTGGGGATTGGCTAGCTTCACTTAGCATGATATTCTTAAACACCATGAATTTACCACAAATGCCATGATTTTATTTTCTTATTACTGAGTAATATTCCATTGTGTATATATGCCACATTTTTTTTTTATTCATTCATCTACTGAAGGGCATCTAGGTTGGTTCTACAATTTAGCTATTGTGAATTGTGCTGTTATAAACTTTGATGTGGCTGTGTCCCTGTAGTATACTGTTTTTAAGTCCTTTGGGTATAAACCGAGGAGTGGGATAGCTGAGTCAAATGGTGATTCCACTCCCAGTTTTTCCAAGGAATCTCCATACTGCTTTCCAAATTGGTTGCACCAATTCGCAGTCCCACCAGCAATGTATGAGTGTGCTTTTTCCCCACATCCTCGCCAACACTTATTATTGTTTGTATTCTTAATAGCTGCCATTCTGACTGGAATGAGAACGTTATCCATTTCTTAAAACAAGTATCTTTAAACCAAATGGTTGTAAGTTCTATATACAACATATCTTCTTACCTTCAGAATAAGTATACACTAGGTAGAATATTTGTGCTCCAGGATTCAAAACCACTCCAGCTGCCCCTTATGAGATACAAGAAGTCTTTGGTTCAGGGGCAGGTGAGGGATAACAATTTGCTTCAGTACCCAAGATGGGACCAACTTCCATTTTAGTTCATCAATCTTTTTTTTTTTTTTTTAAGTGTGGTGCATTTAACTACTTTTTGAACTCTCCAAAAAGCCAGCATAGGTTTAGAATCAATGGATTTCAAAGCAACAGTTACAAAAATGGCCATGCTTCTCAGTTCAGTACAGAGTGGCCTCTTAACACTTTGCCCTCGGGGTCCTTGTTTTGATATGCTTTGTGATCTTGCTGATACTTACTCCATTTCAGTTTAAACTGAAAACAAATACAGAAACCCAAAATGTAATAAAGCAAATATAGTACATAAAATGAGGAGCAAGACTTGGCCCTGATTTACAAATCATGGCAAAGACACCTGGATAGCAAATGTTCCTTTTCTGTGAGATTAGGCCCTCAGAAAGCCGTCCATAATGGTTTTTTTTTTTTTTTACAGATAATATAATTTTTTGACATATCACACCTTGCTATTAAATAAAATATAAAATCAATGTACTTATGATTTTATTTTTAATTTTTATTTTATGCTATGAAAGTCAAAATTAGAAAGTGTGGCAGGAAACCTCTTGCTCGTCATCTTTATCCCCATCCATCTCATTTTAATTCAATTCACTTAATTTTAATTAAAAAATAATTATTTGTGGAGTATGTGCTATGTATCTGGTATTGCTTCACCTGCAGGAGGTGTTAGAGAAGTAGGATGCCTTCCCCGTTCTCAAGGGTTCTGTAATCTGGGTAAAACATCTGCCTGCAGCCAGCTCCGAAACTAGGCACCTCAGGACAAGTGCCAGAAGAGATTCTGAAACAGAAGTTCCTTTGATGAATTCTAGATAGGGCAGAGGGGTGGGAGGGAAGGGAGGGGGCAGGGGATTAGCAAGGATGGTGGAGTGTGATAGACATCATCATCCAATTAGTGTCAACATACTTTATATACAACCAGCGATATGAAAAATTGTGCTGTATACATGTAATAAGGATTTAATGCAAAAAAAAAAGTTAGGAAGAGTTTGAGCATTTCCTTACATGAGGAACAAACTCATTATATTTGTGTAAACAATGCTAAATATGTACATGCCAGCCTTTAACCATTTGAACTACCAAAATAAAAACAAGATGTTTTTAAAAGAGAGAGAGAGCAGATGTGACCAGGTGTGGTGGCACACACCTGTAATCCCAGTGGCTTGGGAGGCTGAGACAGGAGGACTGTGAGCCAGCCTCGGCAAAAGCAAGGCTCTAAGCAATTCAGGAAGACCCTGTCTCTAAATAAAATATAAAATAGGGCTGGGGATATGGCTCAGTATTTGAGTGCCCCTGAGTTCAATCCCTGGGAGAGGGAGGGAGAGAGAGAGAGAGAGAGAGAGAGAGAGAGAGAGAGAGAGAGAGAGAGAGAGAGAGAGAGAGAGAACGAGAACGCATTTGGGAATATATTCTGAATTATTTTCACAAATAATTATTATCACAGCCCCAGCTTCAGAACATAAGCCCTTAGTTCTTTTGCTGTTCATTGTACTTAATGACCGGGAACACAAATGCATCTTAAACACACAACACACAAGCTTTCTCTCTTTGCCCATTCTGCTACCCCTTGACCAGCTCCTTCCTTCCACTCTTGATCCAAAAGTGGAGAGGAGGATGGAAGTCCATAGCCAGAGGGAGCACCCCACTGTCTCCCCCACAAGCCATGATTAGAAAGACCTTTGGATTCCCTAAGATCCCCGATGGGCCTTTTTGCATCTTGGGCACCCACTAGTCTTGTCAGTGGGCATTGCTGCCCTAGGCAGCCTGGGACAGCAGGTGCATCAGTCTCCTTGTGGGCCAGTTGAGGCTCACCATGTTTAATGTGGTCCTTCCTACTAAACCAGCTGCCTGACCTTAGCTTCCTTCCAATCAATGGGAACAAAATTCAATCTTAAGTCATCATAACAAAACTGGGCTTTATGGGTCTTGCATGTGAGGCCAAGAGATATCACTGTAGGTGATTAGTAGTACATGTGACCCTAAGCCGATCATGACGGCCAGAGCACTAAAGAGGCAGCCCTGGCTTGCATCTCCCCCATGGACCACACGTACTTAGGCTGTCAAAAAATCAGTGGAAATTTTCTAACTCTTGATTTTGGCTTTATTGTGTCTCCTTCCCTCACTAACAAGTTTTCAGTGCAAGTATCATGGTAGAGCTTTCTTTTCTCTATTATTTCTCTTTCAAATAGGAGAAGGTGCTAATGCAGGGTAAACATAACAAAACACCAGGACCAGATTAAAGAAAGGAACCACAGGAGGTCTAAATCAATGGCTCCTGGAAAATTAAGAATTGACTGTAATTACAATAGATCAGAAGAGGTTCTCCTATTTCCCAACTCATTTTCTGCCTAATTTCAGTTAAACCTTATTTAGGAGAGGATCTTAGCCTTTAAAGTTGAGTGGGAAATTTTCCTTATCCTGAACTGACTTTGAACATCTCTATAGGTGATTACATCACCCTTCTTAAAGTCTAAACAATGTACTCCAATCCCTTTAGAACCCTGCCCAGGACACTTAACTATAGGCAAGATGGCTCACCAGTGGGAGCCAATAATATAGTGTTTTTTTGTTGTTTTAAATTCTGCCCAAGACCATTAGCTTCCATGGGGTAGAGAATGCCAGGAGGAAGAAAAAAATCCAGCATTGTCTTTTTCCATTAACTTAGTCCTGTTTTCATCTTCGTTCCCTTCCTCCACCCCCTCACTCTGGGTCCAATGGAGGATGCCGGTGATTTAACATCCCTGTAATGATTTTGGTTGGGACGCGTCTTGTTTTAAATGTCTTTGGGAAGCTGCGGAGAATTCACAGAATTCTGTGAAAGAGCAACCTTGCTTTTTTTTGCATGGAGGCCCTTGGGATTAGATGAATCTGATTTCTTCCAATCCTGCTGACCATTGAGGTAAATTGACCAGATGAGCAACCACTGTCGTCTTGATTGCAAAATAAAGTGATTTAATATCCATGTTGCATGAACCAAATGTTTATAATCTAGTTTAAAGCCACTATTAGATTTTTCAAATGTACCAGTATTTAAAGTTCTCCATTAAGATCTTTCCCCTTATGGATTCAATGAATCATATTACAAAGGAGACCACCATGATCAGTCTTGAATTTTTCATTGATCCGTGTTTTATTTGTTATTTATTTATTTTTTTGGTTGGTTTGTTTTCGTTTTTATCCCCCCCCCCCAGATTTTCTTCTCCTAAGACCCGGAGGGTGGAGGGGGTGGGGAAGGCAGCATTGACACTTTTCTTTTTTCTTTTTCTTTTTTTCAGATTCCGAAGAGTAGAAAAGACCTCATATACACTAAGAGAGGCTGCCAGTGTCTTGCATCATTTTAGCTGAGCTTCTTCATTCTCCTCCTTCTTCTTCCACAAAGACCCCTCTCTGGGGAAGGTGTACAACTTCCAAAAACAAGCCCCCCACACACACTTGGCCTTCTCTCATGCCATCTCCTCCCAGGGATGAGTCCTGGGAGGTTGGTTTGAGGTCCTTAGAACTCTAGGGGATTTTCCCCTGAGCCAACAAAACCATTTGAGTTTTTTTTTTTTTTTTTTTTTTGCACAAGCAGAAACAAAACGTGAAGGGACTTCCTCAAAATCCTTTGCCAATGATGTGGCTTTCACGGCACCTGTCTGGCCTGATGAGAAAGGACACCCTGGATGTGCTGGGAGAGGCCTGGAAAAGCCACACACACACTTTACTTGCCATTTTATAACTGTCAATGCTGTTCTGTGAAATGTTGTTTTTTTGTGGTTTTTTTTTTTTTTTGCACTGGCTACTGATGGTAGAAATAGCCATGCTGGCCCTCATCACAGCTAAAATGATTTCCATCTCTGGTTCTTTCCTGAGTCGAGAAAATTTGTTTTTCTCCAGTTTTCTTTTAGATTTAAAAATTGTTCTTATGCCTTTTTCCCCCATTTGTATGATATAAAATTCCGTTAATTTTTTTTAAGGAGACTATCCTATGGGAATCTGTATTTGATGCTTAATTTATTTTATCTGTGCATTCATGAATGTGAACCTCAAATGTGTCAGCTGATGACTCTACTGTCAGGTGGGAACCCTATTGTTTTCATTGGGTGGCATCCATAACCAAGGGGTTACTGAAATTTTGACCACTGATTGGTTGGTGGTTGGTCCTCTTCTTTAGGATATCTGTGATTTGACTTCATCTTTTTTTTTTTTTCAGGGAAGTGATAAGCATCCTAGTACAGGGAGATAGGTCAGATAAGTTTTTTTTTTTTTCATTTTTAGTGAGGCTTTACAAATAACAGATAGGAGTTGATTTTCATAGCTCAAGTAGAAAATAAAAATAGTAAATGTATCCAGGAAGAGGAATAATGATACCATCCCTTGAAGCCAAAATAAAAGTGGGATCCCATGGAGTACAAGAAAAGCATGTGATTTTATGGGTCTAAATGGTATGATTTGGATAAAAATGATTCTTACAATGTGCCTGTGGAATCCCGAGTTCTTCCCAAGAGTAAATCACATGGGTATGCTGTGGTGAAGTGGGATTAGGAATAGAAAGTGGGCTAAGCAATGGGCTTCAGTGTATTATCCCTTGCAGATTTAATTTCTACACAAAAGCACAAATGTTTAGAAACCTCTGTTTTACTAAAGCAAAATGTCCATACTTCCTCAGAGAGAGAGAGATCACAGGTGTTCTGAGACCTTTTTGCTCACTGAAATATTCTTCAAAGGAAGATTTACAGAACTTTATCATAAAGAGTACCCAGTAGCATACTAATATGGGACAGGTCTCTTCTGTCCATTTTACATTTGGCCTCATAAAAATACTTACATTTTTCCTAGTAGTGCCCACAGTAGATAATATGATCACAAATTCAAATGTCTTCAGGGGCCTACCAGGTCAAGTAAATGAGGAAAGCAAGCCATGCAATGTTCCAATTATTGTGATGCATGGCAATTTATCAAGGGGTTTGGCATCAAGGAGACAGTGAGGATCAATGAGAACTGTGACGAATTGGCAAGGGTTGGTACTGTCAAAAAGAGGCAGAGTATAGTCAGCCACCTGACTTGTGCTATGTAGCCACAGGGGTTCTATGTAGGAAGGAAGATTCTAGAAATCTAGAATTTTATGTAAATCCTTTCAAAATGTTTACATCTTGGCAACTAACTCAGAAACTTACACTGTGCGAGTCAAACAAAATATGTAGATGAGCTGTTTGTAATCCATGGGATATCAGTGAGCAAACTGTGTTCTTAAAGGGGGATATGACTTTGTATAGGAATTCGATATGAGCTAAGGGATGTCAATCCTTCACCTTGGAACCTGGACCTTTTACCTCATTTCTATTCTGTATTTTTGTACATGGAGCTTTTTGTGCAGACAAAATAGAATGTCTACAGCTTCCATTTTATAATCTAGTAAGCAACACTAAACAATATTTGAAAAAGGAACAGGAATATAGCCATTTTTTTTCTATCACCAATAAAGATGGAAATATTTTCATTTGTTTTAAGTCATTAACCAACTGAAAAAGAATGGGAGGAGAATTTTATACAGTGTAGAACTTTGTCTAGAATGTTCAGTGAGGAAAAACAAAAGCTCTGTGTAACTCGCTCTGACTTAAATCTTTTAAAAAATGTTTTGAAGACACATTGAGTAAAAATGCAAAGTTATTTAAAAAGTGCACAAAAATCTGTATTATGTTCTGAATTGGGGTTGGAGCTTATAAAACAGTAGAACAACTTTTCCAAGTCAGTATTGACTGGAAGAACAGTGTTTCCAAAGCTCTAGCTCATTTTCTAGGGTCTTTGAATTCTCTGGAAACAACTTTCTCCAAATTCAGCTGCAATAAGAGATGAAGATTGTTCCCTTGTGCCAATGGTGGAATCTGCCTCTGATTTACATACAGAGCAGGGTGCACACACCTGAATTGAAGATTGACTAGTGTGTAACGTAGCAGTAGAGACATTCTCCCACTAGTCAACCACACATGTACGTATTCCTGGGTAGAACCTGACAAATGGAGTCAGCCCTTGAGTTTGTGTGCCCATGTCACTAAATAGCTCCCTTTCCAGGTTGTTCTGCTGTGGTGTGGTTGGGTGGCATGATGACTTATCCTTACAGAGATCGATGTGCCATGTTTTATTCGTGCCTACCTTTCCTCCACTCTGACCCCTAATAGCTTATGGCAGCAAGCAAAAGACTTGCTTCAAACCCATCAATTCAAATGGACTTTCTTCCATGGTCCATTTCATTCTTGGAGCTTTATAAGAACTACTGAAGACATACAACAGGATCCCGTTATGGAGGAGACATACTTAAATGATAAATGATACTGCACATATGAAATCAAAGAAAAAAATCAGTGCACATATCCATTTCATTTGCAGAATTTAAGACATTATGACATCCACCTGGTACCATGTATTTGTGTAAAAGTGAAAAATAAGAAGCAACATTATCATGGGCTCTGAGAGGGAGAGCAGATAAAAAAAAGAAAAACAAATTTTATAATGTACATTTGGGGAGTCCTGGCCTTTGACTATTATTTCTCTCATGGATCACTTTTCTTTAGATAGATGGATGAATAGATAGTATATGGAACATATTTTCTTTTAGTCTTTCTTAATGTCTAAACAGAGACTTAGATAATAGAAGTTACTTTGTAATATTCCCAGTGAAGCTTGGGGTAAACAAAAGAAAAAGCACAAAAATCTTTTTTCCTTTTTTTTTTTTTTAAAAAATAACAGGATAGATTCTGAGATCAAAAGCCTATGTATGTTGAATTATCTCCCAAATAAAGATTTGGGGGATTCAGGCAACATTTTTCTCCTGATGCTGAGATGCCCTTGTGTTTTATAAGAGTTGTACTGGCCCATCACAGTGCCTGGCACTCTGCCAGCCTTCAGAAAACACAGGAGGAATTATTGAATGGATCCCATCATCCACCTGTGCATATAAACAAAATTCAAATTTGCCTGGTAATGTATTCAGCAACTCCCATGTGCCAAGCACTTCACTTATGTTCATGAGACTTGTATTTCAAATATATGCAGACACACCCTGGTCATACAAATAGCTTATTATAAGATATGGGAAATGGCAGATTATGTAGGGGAAACTGTTTAAGAGAGCCAAGTTTAAGAAAAATAAATAAGAATTTTACCATGGCCTTTTAATGTAAGATAAATTTTTTAAAAAATCATAACAACTCGACATAATTTGTCTGAGAATGCTCTACCAAAAGAAGTGATGACACCACTCTCCATGAATGAAATGTCAGTGGATTTATTTTGAATCAAAGTAAACTTTTTAGATCCAAAGTGCACTCTCTTGGAGAAAATAGGAAAATCTATATGTGCACCATGAGAAATCATTGCACAGCAGTTCTGCTTCTCCATTATTACGGTGGGTATAGCTCTGAACCACAGCAAAATTGGATATTAAAGAACATAATGTTGCAATAATGATGTTATATTGGATCTTATTCATGAATAAATGGAGAGTAATGCTTGTAATTCATCAACAGTGATCTATGATTAAAAGCCTCATTATCACTGAGAAAATGAACTTAATGAAAAAAATTGTTATGAACACCAACAGTATTCTTCTGAAATATCCCTCTGAGAACCAAGAGACACATTACCTCAATGCCAAATTTTAGTTTTAAGATTTCCTGTCATCAAAGACACTGATGGGCATAGAAATGACACTAGAATTGGAATAAACCAGCACTGCTGACATTAGGGTTTATGTTATTAGTGAATATGGGTCCATGGAGTTGAGAAAAAAATAGGAAGTTGGCCTCTGGAGATCCTCATCAGGTATTTGAAAAAGACAGGTGCTTCTCTCCAGGAGAATCCATGATAAGGAAGAATTCCTTTATTAAGAGAAATCCTTTTTACATTAAACAAAGATGAGGTATGGTGGGAGACCCGGACTGAATGGTTCATAGAGGTCATATTAAATATTATTCATTCTTGATTATTTTCTTAACATCCTCATCCTACCCATTTTTCTTTAAAACACTGGCAGGCATATCTAAGATGAGTTCACATTTATTCTGGCTTCTGTTCCCAGGCAGAAGTGGATTAACACGGACAATGGCGAGCTTCACTGAATGAACTTGAACCCAGCCTAGGTTGCCATGGCAGAGCCGGGAAATGTTGTGTGGGCTCCTTCAGCTCACCCAGAGCTCAGTTTTCTCCCCGGGGTAAATGCTGGCTGTAGCTATCCATGGTCAGTGCCATCTGAAGGCTCGTCCTCTACTTTGGTCAGCTTCAGTCATGGCACTTGGACCTCAGCCATGTATTCTTCATGGGCTCTGACTTCTGCACCAGAAGAAGCATTTATCAGTCAGTTTATATGTAGGGTAATTCAACTGAAATAATTCCCACTACCCAGTGGCTTTGGAATGGTTTTTAAATAGATTGTTCTGGAGGCACACTGTTGTATAGTCTTTGCTCTTCAGTGTTGATCTATCTTGGGGTAGGGGTTTGTGCACTATTATCCTTGTCTCTGAGTGGGTATGTGTGCAATGGTACAGAAATATAGAAGTCACACACCAACATGCATAGATTTATAGTACAAATCTACAGCCATAGGTATTGTTCAGTAACTGATTCTAGAGTAGAACTATAGAGTACACTTTTCCTTTTTTCTTGCTTTGATGATATTTTTATACAATTTTATATGCTGTAAATTTCTTGAAAATATATTTGCTATTTTCGTTGGTAGAGCTCGGTTAGGTTTTTTATCAGCTCTCGTGCCCACTGAACAGCCAGACCCGTCAACCCCATCTAATTTAAATCTCTTCTCCCTCTTCCATACCCTTTCTTTATCTCTTCCTTCTTCTCTTCTTCCATTTTTTTTCTACCTTTCAGAAATTCTTTCATTCACTTCTGTCCAGGTAGGCCATTCTGCACACAGAACACAAAATAATGGAGGAAAAAACAAAAAGCACCAAGTTCCTGTGTAATGTACACAAAGAAGAGTTACATGTCAAAGGTACAGCTGGGTAGGTGGGGGGAGGGAATAGATGAGTGAAAGGAATCAAGAAAAAAAAAGTCTTGATGGGAGATCCAGTACTCAAAGCAATGTGAGTCACTTGAAGGCCCTTGTAATATGGCTCTTCTTTTCTCTCCGTGGGAATACAGTCTGTACAGTCACAAGCTCCTCTCTGTAGGATGTTGTGCCCTCACCATGAGTCTGTAGACTGCCTGCTAGTAAGGGCTCTGTTCACATGTGATTGAAAACTTGGCTCATCCCCTCAGCCTTAGATTTTGCTGCTGTTCAAATCCCTGCCACTGGATTTGTGGGAAATGCCTGAATCAATATCAAGATGCTTTAGCAAAACTCAAAAGAAGGAAACAATCAGAACACACAAATTCCAAACTAAACTCCCACCCAGATCACAGGAATAAGGAAGAGATATCTGTATAGGATCTATAAATGCTCTTCCAAAAGGGAAGATGGAAATGGACTTATCTCTATTTTGCAGTAGTGATGCTATGTACTTGCATGGTGTGAATCGTCCTTCTGGCAAACAAAATACAGTTTGCAGTACATCAGAGAGAGAGAGAATGACCACGTGTTCTAACAAAGAGTGTTCTGTTCCCTGTGATGCTGCTTTCTACTAAAACAATCTGTTCCAATGCCATAGCATTATATCTCCAAATGCAAAAGTAAATCATAAAGATTCATGTAAAGCGGAGAATGCTAAACTGCTCTCAAAAAATTAAAGATGTGTTTATTGTAAATCGTTATTGCACCAATGAGCCTGATAGTCCTTCAATGTATAATTCCCCCCCAGCATCTAGTAATGAATAACGACTTGTATGTTCTTCTGATAACCAAATAAAAACAATGAGTTAACCTCTTAATTGGAATTTGAAAAATTAAAAGGCTGTATTTTTTTTCTTTCAATGTTTTTCTATTGTTGTCTATGTTCTGTTCCCCGATATGTAGCTGCCTAATCTCACTCCGCCCTTTGTCACTTTTATATTTCTGCATGCACCCCATAATTTCCAGGTACAAAGGACCTTTGCCTACACACTGGTGGATATTCACAGCATACAACTGTATCATGCTTCATATAATCCTTTTTTATTGGGGATGAGGTGGATGGGTTATCAGAAGCTCTTCCAAGGCATAAGAAACCTCAGCACTCATGGGATTAGGCTGATTTGCATATTATTTTTCATTAGGGTACAATGATATATGGTTTTACAGCCATGTGATGCTAGCTTTCGAATTCCATTTTTTTTCTCCCTTTTCTCTTGTGAAAAGCTTATATTTGTAAGTAAATATTCTCCTGCTCTTCAGGAGTCTGACTAGCAAATAGTCATTAGTTGATACAAGTGGTTTACATATTGTCAAGCACCCAGCCTGCTTTCTTCAAACAGGCTCCTTGAAGGGGACCCCCTAGTGATGATGAGGTGCATTACACAAATACCACCCCTTGGTGGGCTGCCACCAAGTATTATTCATGTGCAGTGACTCCCCTGGATTATTATCCATTTTGGAAAATATAGTCTTTGAAATCCACCTATGCCCTGTGGGATCTGGTTGTACTTGTAACAACATTGCTGTTATCAGACCAAGAACTTAAAATCACCTGCAATACCCTGACAATCAGTCAATACTCTATGCCCTCATGGTATTTTACTATGAATTTTTGCACAGCTAAAGCCACACAGTATACTTAATTTTGCATTATGATTCATTCATATAACATTGGTTTATAAGCATTTTTCTGATTCCTTTTTTAACTCCTCATTAATGTAATTTCAATAGCAACATAATGCAATATTTCATTTTGTGGCTCTAGCAGTTTACTTACCGACCACTCCACTGTTGGACAATTAAATTCTATGCTTTCATTTTTTAGTTTTAGCAGTTTTAAATAAAAGCAATGAATCCCTTTTTATATAAATCTTTGTCACATTTCCAAATATCTCCACTGGACAAATTTCTAGATGTGCAATCAGTGTGTCAAAGATTCTGAACAATTTCAAAGCATATTCAAATATTAAAACAGCATATATTGTTGATGCGCTCTTGTGTTTTTGATCATTGTTCTTTGTGATGAACATAGTCAGGTCACACCCAACCAGAATAGTATAGATAGTGTTGTGGCAGAAAAAAAAAAAAAAACTGTGAAGATGCACCTCTGGTTTATATACCATTGGAAGACAACTCACAGGTGTGAGTGGTTTGAAGCCCTCCAAACTCTCAGTGATTCCATGGCCCAAAGCAGAACTTGGATTTCTTTTAATGCTCTTTCTATAATGATGTAAAAGGGCAAAAATGATGATGTGTTCTGAGATGTTGGCTTGTTGCCCTTTGCTACAGCCTAAATGGAACATAAAGATGTCGGCAGACACAGGTACAATTGTGGTCAGAGGTTTGTGGGTGTCATAAAGGCAGGCGTTTGTAATACGCTAAAAGAAAGTGGCTGAAAATGTCTAGTGTGTTGACAAACTCTTTCCCTCCCTAGACTTTCAGCATCCACCTCTGCCCTGTGGGGCCCAATTCTATCATAATATTGCTGTTGTCACACTGCTCATACAGATGATGCTTGGTCTAGAAGGGCTTTTAAATCACCCTTTGCCCAGCAGGCGTGGGCTTGGCCATGCTAACCCTATTTTGCAGAGGGAAGTGAGTTGTTTGAGGTTAAGCTGCAAATCACCGGGGTTTAGCACTAACTTCAGGACATCCTGAATCTTAGATATGTGTGTTCACCCCAAGGCGGGCAGCCTTGGTTGTCACTTCCATCACTGTCCTCTCTCCAGACTCCTGACGAATTGAATTCATTGCCTTTTAGCTGAACCAACCAAGGACATTAATTTGAAATACTGAAAGCCATTCATTTGTCAGAAGGTACCTCCAGTCACATAAGCTGTGGTGATGACATTCTGCCCCAGGCTGACTGATTGGGTTGTTTACTCCTTAAACATTCACTCTAGGTCAAGGACAATGTAATTCTTGACCTTGAAATGTTTATTTACCAAAGATGATGTATTACCTACTACACACACACACACACACACACACACACACACACACACACCACCACCACCACCACCACCACCACCACCACTTGCTTTGAATATAAACTGAATAATAACAAACAGTATGTTACACTTCACGGTTTACACAAGTATTTTCTTACTTGAGCCTCACCATTATGTTCTCAAATTGAAGTTTTTAGAAATTAAAAAAAATGAGGAAAATGAAATATTATGTTGGTATCCACATAATTGTTTGTTTTTATATTATCTACCTCATTTGTAAAATATTTGAGAATTCTAAAATCACATAAATTGATTATCAAATTGTTTTTCTTTGAATTAAGAAATCAGAATAAAAGTCAGGTATAGTGCCATGTGCTTGTAATCCCAGTAGCTTGTGGGAGGCCAAGGCAGGAGGATCCTGAGTTCAAAGCCAGCCTAAGCAATTTAGCAAGGCCATAAGCAACTCAGTGAGACCCTGTCTTTAAATATAATATATTTTTTAAAAAGGGGCTAGAGATGTGGCTCAGTGGTTAAGCACCCCTGGGTTTAATCCCTGTTGCTTAAAAAAAAAAAATCAGAATAAAACTGAGGCATAGTGAGTTAGTGAACCAGGGCAAATGTTCCTTTGGGAACATGCATGTTAAATAAAAGGTTTCCCAGTTCCCAGCATGAAGTCCTAAACTGGATCTGAGCTTCCAGGAAACCTTTAAAAAAAAAAAAGGGAAAGAAATTCCTTACAAAATTCATATTCTGTAGGAGGATAAAGCACCCTAGCTCTTCAGATGACAGAACTCCTGACAGCTGAAAGAAACATCTTTGCTGGGAATTCACTTTACAAAGCACCTAGGCCTTGATCCCACCCCAAACCAAACCAAAGAGCATCCCTGGGTAAAGCACTCAAATGTCACCACATGACAGCAGATGATCCTTATATGTAGCCAGGATTAAAAACCACTGACAAGAGTGGTTAACCAGTCACTCATGGATCAGTATCCCCGCCTGGACTTCTGCAGTACATCCAAAAGCCAGTTCCATGTGATGCTTTGTCCCCAGCTGTCCACCTACATGGTACCATGGAGCAAAGTTTAGAAACTGAACTTGTATCTGGATCTTCTGACAGTTTCTAATGTTCTCCCTGGGATGGGAGTCAGAGAGAGGCAAAGGGTTTTAGAAGTCAAAACTTAAGTCTGAATTGGTATTATTCCCACAAGTGGAACTTTTGAGCAGAGTGATAGGTAATTGGTTGGCTCTGGAGTGGAAAATGACTTTGCGAATGCAACGGCGGTAAACTGGCATCCACTGGGAGGCTGACTCAGAACCTCACCACCCCCAGTGGTCCCAGGTGCTGTCTGAGGGTTATTTTATGCATCCCTGCCTGCTGCCTGCCTATGACTCATGATTCGGAGAGGCTGGTTGGGATGGTTTCAACCCTTCCTGATAGACCACACATTTCATCAAGCAAACAGGGTAAACAGCAGCGTTTATAGAAGATAGGGCACCTATCTGCTTTTTCACTGCCCCGAGGCCTGAAGAGTTCCCTGTCTTACTTGGTGTCTGCTAAGAAGGCATCAAAGGAATGAAAACCTGCCTCTAGGGCAAGCTATTAAACTGCAGGCTTTGGAAGATCACAGTACATCATTATTATTTTTTTAATTGCACCCCAAATTCCTATGAAGTAACCTGGTCACAGTAGATATTTCCAGGCTGAAAGCAGTGTCTCCAAGTGCTTTGCAATTTTCAAGTACTCGTGTAGGCAGGATTAAATTGGACCTCTCCAGAAGAGTCTCCACCAAAAACCATATTTTCCACCAGGAAGGAAAGTTCTGGTGAAGTGGGTAAATGGATGCCTGAGCCTCACAGCCACCTGAGAGCCACCTCAGAGCCATCTGGAGCAAGTGTGAAATATCCATATCCCTGGGGCATCTTCTCCAGAAGTGCTGGCTCCCTAGGGTTTGGTCTGGTCAGAGAACCTGGTTTTGTTTTCTCCTTTTGTTCATTGTTACAGGTTTTTCTGATCCTTACACAAAGTGGAGAGGCTGTATTGGAAGACCAAGAGGAAGTAAGAGCCATGGGAAAAAATTTCTGTATGTTTGAAACTTTGAAGGGTCTTGGCTAAATTTTATCCACCCTCAATACCCAGTAACTTTGCACAAATTGCTTAAACTTCCTTTGTCTCCAAATATCATAAAATGTGAATAATCTTATTGTCAGAATGTTATTATCAGAAAGAATGTGCACTTCCTTGTTCCTAGTTAATAGTGTACCAGGGACATAGAAACCTCTTAATAGCTGGCAGTGACTACTACTAAGGACCAAGCAACCCATTGGGAATAATGGCTCTGAATAAAAAAGTCCTAAATCCTGTCTCCATCCTAGAAGAGGCATTCGCAACTGAGGGCAATCTTGCCTCTAGAAGAAATTTGTCATTGCCCGGAGGATACTTTTGATTGTTGTGACTTGGGAGGTGGTACTGACATCTAGTGGGTAGAGGCCAGGAATAGTTCTAAAACCTCCTGCAATGCCCAGGACACTCCCATCACAAAGAATCATGCAGCTCAAATGTCATAGTGTCCCTATTGAAAAAACATGTCCCAAATATTGTGAGACAAACAAAAAGGAAGGATAAACGTATTGTATCCTTTTTCAGAGTCCAGGAGAAAACTCTGAAAGCCATAGTTATTGTCCCCATAGTGGAGGTGGATCAATCAGGACACAGGCATTTCTGATGGAGCAGGAAGTTCGGAGGTTGGATTTGCATCCTGGTAGCACCCCTGGTCAGGGCTGACTAGTGGTCCTCCATGCTTTATGTGGAATACAATGTGAACCACACCCTTTGGGCTGCACCATTGAGGTGGGCCTAGCCTGGACCACAGTGTCATCCTAGATACATTTTTTTTTTAAATTTTGTAG